AACGCAAAACCCTTTAACCAGTAGTTTCGTTAGTTTAACTGGTGTGCGATCCCCAGGCAGATTTTGTCTAAAAGATAAAATGAACGGCAAGACAGATTTAGATTGGAGGCAAAACGCGCTTGGACGACAAAGAAACTTTGGTAGTTCGGGCTTTTCTATTATTATGAAGAAGGCATTTACGAATGCGCTTGTGCGATACTTTCGGTAGGCAGACGATAATAATCAATACGTGTGCCATTTTCAGCAAATACGATGCAAGAATTTTGTCGCAATCAGATCAAGCAACTGGAAAAACTCGAAAAATTTCAAGTGTAAAGGCAAATTCCATGCATCAGCTGGATTAACGCATCATATAAAACCGATCTAAATTCAGTCCTAATGAAGATGTCAATTTACTCGTTAAGTTTTATAGAAAGTCACTTTTTACTGAGAATAAAGCATTCTTTGGCAAGTTACACATCAATCTCATCAATTTTTTGACATCTGCCTTCATCATAAAGGAATATTGCCTATTGTTTAAGGGACCTCAATCCCCTTCTAATGGCACCACTCACTTAACTATATTAATCTAGGGCAATTATCTCTTCCCAAAATCTTTGTAACCTCTCGTTGAATAATGCTAATTGAAATCTTTCAGACCTTTATCTGAAACGTAACTTTGCTTTTCCCTTCTTAATATAAGTGAGGATTTCACCTCGTTTAGGCCACTTTTTATCTAAAGGCCATTTGTGGGGAATTTTCCTGGCGTATGGCTCCTGTAAATGACCAGTTTTTATGGCAGGGCTCGACTCAATTTTTATTGTTCCCGGTAAAACCCTGAATACCTCTCCCAGTGCGCTTCATAAATAACAGAATTGACTGCTGCTACTTTGTACGTATATTTAGTTGATGCAGGCGCCGGCTGGTAGATAGAGCAGTACCAAGCCTTATAATGACAACGTGTATTAGAGTAAACGCAAACAGTGAATTTGGCAGGCACGGCGGCACACGCAAATGTGGAGCATGCCACACGTCTAACGCGTTCGACACGCCAGTCTGATGGTAAGCAACTGCACTCCTTGCTCGGAAAATCCTACGTGAAGTAAACATCCTGGCAATCGCTACATCCGGCTTGACTATGCTACCTGATAAAGGCATTTAGGTCTGCCATAAGACATATCTCATTATTTCAACGCGTTTAAGACTTTGGGTCAGACTTCGAAAATCCCTTATAGGCGAAAACGTCATTAGCACAGCTGCGTTACCGGGCAAGCAACAGCGACTGCAGAGGCCGCCTCTTATCCGTAGATAGCCAAGGAAGACGCACTGCATTCAAGCCCGTTATTCGGCCGTTTCCGCCAACATGAGTTAAAAACCAAGCGTCGATAAATGCCTCTTAGAGCCACTTACTTGTATATCTGATTTTTTTGCCATTATGATAACTAACATGAGACCACTCCAAAGACAAATACAAATCGGTGTTGACCGAGTATTCAACGGCGGCCTACTCCGTTCCCGAAGCGGCCATGAAGGCCGTCGTTGGTGCGATCACACCTCATACCAGTCCTGACCTTAGTGCACACTTGATACTGACGATTAAGGCTTTCAACAGCGTTACCGGTGCGGACTGGCGTCAGCACGTGCATGGCGGATTGTAACCATCGGCCCTTTTTCTCAGGGAGACGTCGGGCTGGCATCGAAAAAACGCACAGCCTCACAGAGGGTTAACACATTAGCTCCAAGATTGAAGTGGTGAACCCTACTAAGTCTCTGCAGAGTGAATGTGGAAACTGTGCAACGGCCCGGAAGCTGAAGTCACTAGGGATGCCCTCGCTGATCTGCTGGAGTACAATGACCAACTCGTGCCCACTGGGCCTGCAGCCCTCCTGGATGCTATTGTTGACAGCAGTCCTTTTTGCCCTGTTTGAATTGCAACTGTACCTAGTCCGGAAAGGATTATCGATGCACAGGCATAACAGATGAGTGGTTCAGTGTATTTACACCACCTCCTGAGCAGAGCGACCTAAAATTCGGGTGCTGACTGAATACCACGAGATATCTAAATACATACAACTAAAGTTACGTCCTCTGTCATCGCGTGCCCGGATTTTGTTGTTGCTTTGCGTTGATATTTCATAAGGTCATTCGCTGTTCCTCAACTTATTACATTATCTCAAGGCCTACTTGGATTTGCTTCTTCGTTCGCATCTTCCGGGTGTATGTTCATAAACTCAGCGATAACTATTGAGTGTCATCAGTATTTCTCTAGCCATCCGGAGATTATTATTTCCCAAAATGAGCTGATGCTGAAATGAGTCGGCAAGAGACAACTCTCTTTTGCCGTTTACCCATCCCTCTTGTTATCTCATCTTTTACAGGTTGGACGCAACACCCCCAACTGGGATTTTTGTGCCTAATTGTCCTGTTCGAGTGGGGTTCAGTCACTATATACTCGCCATTTGGGCTGTGTCTGACTCTTCCACGAGAACTTCGCTCGAAAAACTTTGGTGAGTGTTTATTCGTGCAATTCGGCCCACAAATAAACTCATTCATCTAAGCGGAGGCAGGAACAGGAGAGGGCACCGCTTCGGTGTTGTCCACCGTCATCCCAATCGTGACAACGGTGCCATTTTTGCACAAACAAGCATACTTTGGTCGCTTTCTAGATAGAGCGTCCGGCAATCATTGCTGGGTCTGACGGGTTTCTGAACTAACTTGATTCACCTTTGACTCTACGGGGAAGAAGAGCAAGTTTATAGCTGGCGAAACTCTGGGGCAGAAGTCTGACACCCGAAAATTGCAACGAAACAGGCTCTTTGGGGATAATGAATGGAGATTCAGATACCAACTTTTGTTAGTAGATAGCTTGGAACCTGGTGACTTGCCCAGACCAAACGACCGCCCTCAGATGAGGTATCTCTGCATTCGTGTCTGTCTGTTTTCTCACGCCATACAACCATCGACGACTTCAGGTGGGTGCACAGAAACGTTCCTTTTGTCTAAACGTAAACTACTGATATGCTTTTGCATGCGTAAATGCTTACCAGCCATTACTGTGGCATTCAATTAAATATCTACTATCCCCTGGTGTTAATTGCGGGGTTTTTCACAGCAATGTTCCCCTGAACAGACATACGAATCCTAATTCAAAGCAAATAAACCAGACCCATCAAAGCTAGCAAGCCGCATTCAAAGGACAAATTCCTGGCTATACCCGAAGAACCATGATTAGCAAGAAAATCGTTTTCATTAGGAAGCTCTAAGAACTAACGGAGGGAGTCGGCCACCGTTGTCTCTGAAAAACGGCACCCAATGGGAGGTAAAATTTGACATGGGATTTTTTTGACATAAAAGTAAAAAGGACGGCTAGAGTAGAATCACGAGATTGAACAGTTTGTTGAGATCAGTCGCCTGAGGTGCGCGAGAACATTAGCCCCTTGGTGGCAAACTAAAATGCGTTGGATCGAACTGCTCCAAACTAGTGAGTCGCGTGAGGCGCGATATCGCTTCACGAGGAAGTGACGAATCGGGAATTCCCGGAGGCTCTCGCTCATCCGGTACCCAGACGACGCGCATTCCGGCCGCCAGCGCTGCAGCAACTCCATTCCAGGCGTCTTCAAAAACCAGTGTGTTTAATGGCTCTGCTGATGGGTCCTCAAAACGTCTCAAGGCCACGAGAAATATATCCGGAGCGGGCTTCCCGTGTTTAACCTGAAAGAGATTTAAGAGCAGGCAGCGCATCAATTATTGACTTCTGGCCGACGACCTACAACTTTTAAGAGTGAAGACTCAAGGCGGTCGTAAAAACCACAAAAGATTGAAAAACATCAGTTTGATTAATTAATTTCCCTTAGGAAGGACAGTCAAACAAAAATGAACAAAAGGGCTTGACTAATTCTGGTGAAATGCAGAATTGCATAAAATAAGGAATAGTGTGGGGGCGAGCCCGTTGTCTCAACTGCGTGCATAAAGTTCTAACGGAGCTTTTAAGCCAAATGAATGTTAGAAAAATTCCGAATGTAAGCTCATCCCGCAACACATCGACCGCCTACCCAGCCCTAAGATTTGACTACAATACTGAATAAATTCATCTTCGCAGAGCGGTACCTCTAGATAACAGCTAGAAACGAAATAGAATTCCCGCGAATTTTCCCGTTGTTACTGTTGGAGGATGGATTCCTACATGGTTCGAAAGTTGGTGCAAATAAACTTGTCGACGGTGGCCAACTAACCTCTCGTATTCAGTTAAACCATCTTCAGCTCTAATATTCGCCTCTAGTAAAAACCTCAACTCGCCTTATGACCCTTTCTATGAAAAAGGTAAAGGCGACGATAGAGCTAGTAAATCTACAATAAAAGTGTGGTAATGTAATAAGGTCAACAGATAAAGAAAAGGGAGACATACACATTCGCGTGAGTGCAGATGACAATTACGAGCTAAAGGCTTGGCTTTTAGTCTACACATAATACAAGAAAAAATTTCAATTTTCAATTTCGCATTCACACAGAACTTGCGAGTGGCCAAACCTCTGAAGCCCACCTGAAATATCAAACAATGGACAGAAAACAGAAGCCATGCGTCTTCGGAAAAGGTGTGTATGGGGGGAAAGGGAGGCCAGGATGGTTATTATTGGCTTAGCGTTAAATCCCGAGTCCTGGGAGAACGGAGACTTTAATGAGATTCTGCAGTTTGGGGACAAATCAAAATATACTAACCTAGCAAGCGAGCTGTGGATTCAAACGGCCAATTGCGACCGGAAATATTGATGACGTGGAAAAAGTACTAGGTGAATCATACTGGCCGTGGGATGGAGCACACTCGGGCTCTTTCGGTCGGATAACTTATCTATGACTCGCGCATGCAATTACATGACAGACTAAATAATAAGAAAAGGTGTATATACCACCCGCAAGAGCGTCGTCCTAAGCTGCATGACCAATGGACGCCTACTTTTTGTCCTGTTATCAAAAGGAGACCAAGAAGCAACATCATGCGTGATGCAAATAGTGCTTGAATATTACCGTGATTCAAAAATCAGTTCTTGTGCTCTAAAACAGAAACCAAGTATCGGAATTATCATGAGGCGAACAGCTGTTTAACATAACAGCTGAGGTGAAATACTCCAGAAAAAAACAGCAGAGACGGTAATTCTTGTGGAACAAGTAAGGTATCTTCGCCTATGATAAGAAAACGCACGCTTGTTGTCAGCACCATAAGCGGTCTGGACAAGCAGAGGCAGATGATTTGCAACTGTACACACAAACGAATGGCAGCCAAAACAGCTTTGAAGTTAAGAGTCATTAACTTCAGTTCCCAGGGAGCTGTAGAAAACCAGGCATCCGACTAACGATCGTTAATTGAGGCTTCGTTGGAGAAAAGGCATGATATATCAAGACTTCCGTTTGCGAAAAAAGTCAAGACAAAAGATCGGTGACGTAGACTACAAAACCCACCAACTAGGCCCACAAGGAGATCATTTGTTAGAAGCGATTGCATGGAATGGCATGAATCAACCGAGGACGTGTTGGTTAAGTGTGGCATGAGACTTACCTCTGGATCATCGCCGGAGGAAACTATGTGGTGAAGTTTCGACCACACCTCTTTATTGTTGAACATCTTAGCTTCTATCTCCCACGATACCGAACCAGAAGCAACAGCCATAGGTAGACCATGAGAATAAAAATATTCTACCAAATCTGCAGCTCCAGGAAGAAGTCCGGCCTTGTGCCAGGTTTCGGGAGTAATCCTCGAATGAAGTTCATCGGTCAGTTCTTGGGGACTCATTGGTAGGTTATATTCGTCTATCATGATTGAAGCTGCTTCCAGCGCCTTTCGGCCCATCAATTTGCGTTTCACCTCGTATGTGTACGTTTTTCCGTGTTTCGACAGCAACTCCGACATGACTTCTGTATATATCTCTTCCGTGGATATGAGCAAGCCATCTAGGTCAAAAATTATATGGGTTATGGGGCCTCCTGCACCCATGCTAATACCCTAAATTGATCAAACAGTAGGTACCATACGGCCTGTGGTGTTATCGTGTAAAGAACCGGGCTAAGGTTCAGTGTATTAACCGGCTCAAGTTCTCAAGTATGATAAAGGTAGAACACAAGTTGTCGAGTGGAAAGAAAAATATCAGAGTTTCCGGGTATAAAAGACAAAGACGACGTTCGAGGAAATTACAAAGTTAATGAGCTTTTTTGCAAAATGGCTCACGACGCGCTCTCCTGATGCCTAGGACTTATTAAACATTGCTAGTCAAGAGAGGGGCAGAAGTCTTCGAAGGAGAAATTTTCCCCTGTTTCCCACAGTACGACGACAACTGCGGTTGCAGCTGCTAATAAAGCCAATTTCACCGGCGGGCAGGGAGACATGGAAAGAGCCAAATAAACACTTCTCAAAAGATCATACTTTGAAGAGTAGAAATTGATAGTGTCGAATGAATACGTTTTAATGTCATTTCTCTGGAGGGAGCCAATAATACAGACAGTATAGACTTATCGGAAGTCACACCCCTCGGTCTAAAACAGCAGGATTATGAAGCTGCCCTTTAAAACTGAGTGATATTAGGGCAAAGAATATATTTAGTCGAACTTTCAAATCAGTCTTTTTAGGAAAATAGACGTGGACCTTTAAGTACCCTGCTTGCAATGTAAAATCGGATGCAGTGTGTAGAGAAAACATGTGGGTCATCATAATACAAATCGGCTCAAAACAGTATGACAAGTTGAACGTGAGTCTTAGGGGCTGAGCTCGATCTCTCGCCACTCTTGCTCATTTCAGAAAACAAATCTGCCAAGGTTCCTGTGATAAGTATCCATCGACGGTGGCATCGCTACATGCGTGGGAAGAACATTTAATGGTTTAACCACGGTAAGAGACAGTAGAACCTTCGCACACTCTTTCTTGCCTGCAGAACGCGCAGTTTTAATGGGTGACCTCGGAGGTTAGTCGTGGTAGCAAATTCACGAAGTCCTCAAACGCCAAGCTATATTTCAATCCCTCCACAGTGCGGAATGATTGAAAGGGATCAGAGTGCAGCTGCCCACAACTCAAAAGAAAGAGGCTCATGTTTGTAAGACGGATTGCATAAGGAAAGGAACTTTGAGCCCTAACCATGTTTGTGGTTCCCTTGTAAAATCTTTCAGACAACTTGTGAGTCGACGTACAAGCATTCATGTATTGTCTATAAGAGAGAGGAAATATTTTTAGCTTTTCCAAGCGTTTCTCATGAGGGAAGCAACTTAATCTACCCACCAGCTTTGTTGCTCTTCGTTGTACGTTCTCCAGTAGGGTGTAATCTTGTTTCGTCCAGGGACACCATGCCTGGACGCAATACTCAAACGTTGGCGAACAAATGTTCCCAGTACTCGGCCGGAAATTTCTTCGTCAAGATTGAGGAAGTATCTTCTAATGGTGCCTAGGATACCGCAGCCCTCTGTGATACCTTGGCGGAGTGAAACGATGGTTTTAGTGTTGGCGTCATACACACACCAAGGTCTCTTAACTCGTTGACCGATTCGGGTTTGCGACCTCCTATAAAGTAGTGAGATTCAAATCTTAATGGCCTCCTGCTGCTAGACCGTAATCGCATAAGTTTACATTCGTTAAGGTTAAGGTTAAGACATCACTCATCTCACCACTGTTGTAAGCGATGCAGATTGTTTTGTAACTGTAGCGAGTCTTCCGGATTACTTATCGATTTACGAAATTCGAGATCATCGGCGAACATTACGAGCTCGCAGTTCAGACAGTCCAGGCAGTCGTTCATATATACTAAGAACAGAATTGGACCCAGGACGCTCCCCTGCGAAATGCCACTGTGGACGGATGCCCATTCCTGTTTAGATTTACGATACACATACGCTGGGATCCGACTGTCTGAAAATCGGCTGACCACTTCAGCAGATTCCTATTCACGCCCATTGGACGTAGTTTAAATATAAGTTGTTTGTGTGGAATACTGTTAAAAGCTTCTCTGATGACAATATACAGTGCTTTATCTAACTTATGAGATGTGTCGAAATTCACAAATGATTGCCTATCACTCGCAAACCGCCATCATTTCACGAGTTCAGTGTCTATGTTAATTAAGTACAAGTTCAAAACAATTAAAAGCATAAAAGAAATGTTAAATATACACGGCATCGACTAGTTAACCTATTTTGATTTATTTCTACTAGCTTACCTTGGGTACTAGCAGGTTAGTAACATATAGTCGAACACTTCGAAATCCATGCTGATGCCAATTGGGCAAGTTGTTTTCTTCAAGATGCCGCATCAGGTCCGTCTCTGTTAACTTTTCTTCAACTTTGCAACAGATGCTTGTGAGACTCATTAATATGGAACTTTTTGGTGCTGTTCTGTCGCCACCTTTGTATGTGGGGACTATATTTGTTCTCTTTCAGTCATCAGGGATCAGTTGAATAAATTTATGTTTGTAGGAGTTTTCTAATCACACTCAATGCATCAAAGCCCACTCAATATCTGGCCAGTTAAAATCGTCAAGTTTGCTTTGACAAATCTCGGTGATGAGTGCATCGTCCGCTTCCGTCTGTAAACTAAGCTCATATGAAGACTTGGATGGTTCGGCACTTTCAAGTAACAAAGGAATATTTCACAACCACTGTTCTCACATGGGAAAGGCTCAAAACTGACGTAGTCGATGCCATCTCGTACAAATATCGCAATTTTCCTGCCCCTCCTTTCGTTCCGGTCCATTCGGAGAAGCTAGCATAACTTCTGCGTCTTTAATCTGCTTACTTAGCAATGTTTCTGTTAGAGTAGGGTTGGAAATGGGCCGCGTTCAGTTTTATTTCGTCCAAATTGTTGGATAAACTCTGCACTGTTGTGTACAGCATTTTGTATTATAAAGCTGCTTAGATCTCTGGAAATTGTTTTCTTGTGCTTTTGACTGATAGTTACTACTGGATATTTCACATGGCGTACCAAATCTACTAATCGATTTTGAATTCACAGAAGTTTGTTGGAACTAAACGGCGGTTATTTTACCTTCATTTTCAGCGGATGATTCCACACAAAGAACGCTCTATTTTTACAATTTGGTTGTTAACTAATGTTAGATCCACTTTGCCTCACTTTGACGTTTTCACAGTTCCTTTACGGATGTCCTCATTCTTATCTGTTCGACTGGATGACAGTCCGGCTGAAAATAAACACTCCACGATGGCTGTTTCGAAAACTGGACCTTCGCAACAAGATGAGATCTGATTGCTGTTCTTCTCCCACTATGACTTTCAGCAGTCTCGGTCGCACTTCCTCTGCATTGTCTTTAACTTCAGGTCCCAAACGGAAGATCTTTCGGATTTTGACGACCTCACCGGGTTTTTGAGTGTCATTCAGTAAGTTTTGAAATGTTAGCAGATCGTGTTTGGCCCTCTCTTTTAGGGTGTCAACAGGGACTTCAGGAACTCCCTGCACTACCACAAAATATTATCTATCAGGGAAAAGATTAGTGATTGCATCCTGCCCTCTTTTGCTTGAGGTAGATTGGGTCCCAGACTCTGGGACTGCCTTAATGGCTGTGCACATTTCTGCGTCGAAGTTGCTCACGTCCGTGATATGCGCTGTAACGTCTTTATTTGGCTGCCTCACATTACATACCTCTTGAATTATAGCCTGATATGCATATGTAGGGAAAGCTGCTAGCGCTCAATTGTGGCGTGAGCAAGTCCATACGCTTTTCTTCTGCAGTTTTTTGGAGTCGTCGATCTCTGTTTTATTTTGGTGTGGAAGGACTCTGTATAATCCAAATTTGCCAAATTTAGGGAAACGTGAGAACCTGTTCCACCTCCGCCTGTCTTCTTTTAGTTCCCCTCTATTTCGATTGAGTTGGAAGATGTGTCTAACAAGTTCGTTGCCTCTTGTTTCGCCGAACATGACCTCCATAACCTTTTCCCGGTTTCTCGAAATTCTTGCTGTCCGACTTAGTGGTGTTTTTCATGTCTTTTTTTATCGTGTTCTGGGGGTTTAATTTTGTTATACTTGAGAAGTGATGCTATTATTTTGGTGTGGAGATCGACAGCTATTTCTAGATTCGAAATTCTGGTCTGTGGTTCTCGGCATCCATTACAGTGTGCCGACGTTTCAGTATCTAATTCATTTGTAATTGAATTCAGTAGTGCATCGCGTTCTTCAGGATTGATGGTCCGCAGCTTATCACGCCCAGCTGAGAGCGAGTTAAGTATTTCTAGTAAATGTTTATAAAAAGAAATAGAAAACGGTTTGCAAATGAGCGATAGATCGCCTTTTTCTGAGTGTATATTATTTTCTTGGATGTTTGGCTGTCCGGCGTGGCCGAGTGGTTAGGAGCGTCGGCTCTTCTCCGAGGGGTCCCTGGTTCGAATCCCTGACACGGTTAACTTTAGTCACGCATAGTAGGGTCATGGACATTTTCATGTCTCACCCTAGTAGGACGCCGCCATTTACTTTCCGTATCTGCTCACATTTCCTTCCTTTGTGAGTCGTATCGCTTCCTAAGACCCCTCACCAGAAATATTAACTCTTCCAATTTTTCGGTTCATGCATCGTGCCTCACAGAATGCGCTCCATCGACGCTCTTGGCGAAACCTTCTGCATTCGCCATATACTAGTAGTCTGGTCGCATCTCCCTTGCCCCATCCTCGGATGGACTCGGCTGAATGTAACCAATCGCATCTGGGTTCCTATCGCCACGAGACTTTTTTCAATTCGCCGCTTATTTGCCTTATTCAAGGCCACATACAGGCCAGTTCTGCCTGACCCGCCTACTTACTCCTTCATGAAATCCGTTATACAATGCCACAAACGGCGACGATTTTTGCGGTTTCTGATGTCATCTCCCGCATTTCGACCTCATGCGGTCTGTTGACGCTCACAGCGACACCCTCAGTACTCGCCGT